CCAGCAGAGCTGTTTCAGAAGCCCCTAAACAATGACCTCCAGTTTAAAGCCACAAACATCAGATCCTCTATAGGTAGAGGTAGACTTTAATATTTCCATTCTACTAGTTAAAATATGCTAATAAATCCCAACTGGACCAATAGGCACCATCGTGATAAATGGACAAAACACTGAAGTCAAGGATTTCATTTTGCTTAGATCTACAGTCAACGTTCTTAGAAGCAGCAGGTGAGAACGCAGCAACCTAATGCATCCAGCAGACGTCGTTAAGGTGCTGACGCGCACGGATGTCACTTTGAGAACTAAGGTGCCGCTGGTCCAAGCCATGGAATGTCCAGTGGCCTCCTCTGCCTGTGAAAGCCGCACAAGGAACCAGGAAGGCCCAGGGAGGAACTGACCATGTGAACCACTGTGCTGGCCAGGAAGATCGAAGTATCAAAGAAAGACTGCTGTACTACGTGCAACAGCAAAAAGATGGAAACAACATAAACGCCCATCAAGGGGAGAGCAGAGGAACAAGCTAGGGTACGTACCACCGAACATTAAAGAAGAACAATGCATCTGTGAAACACCTCCTGTCATGGATGGACCTGGAAGACCTTACTTACACTGAGTGAAATCAGTCAGTCACAAAAGGTCAAATACAGGTATGGCTTGCTATCACCATTATAAAATGTCCAAAGCAGATTTACAAACAGCAACATTCTTGGAGATCATTAAAATGGGTGCTGGGAAAAGGAGTGAAAATTCCTAACCCGAGGGCAGATACATGGTAACAGGTGAGGAGAAAGGCAGTGTACACTAAGAGAGAGAGCCACACAAAAGGATCAGTGGGAGGGCACAACAGCTAACAGAAAGCAAGCTAAGGATGATTACATGCACAACCCTGCAACAGTGATAACAATAATACACAAGTGGACACATAAACACACAGATTGAAAATGTGGAGGAAAGTAAGTAAGATAAATCCCACACAGGTATAGAGGTTTGTCAGAGGATGTTTTTACATATATCTTTTATATGTGTTGCAAATATATCCATGAATACAGTATAGCATACAAGGGGTAAAATTAGGAAAACTTTATTATCCATGAGCAGACACCTTGAGGGAATAAGTCTCTGGGTTTAGGGGCTCGGGATCATAGTCTCAGGAGATGTCAAGGTCAACTGTTATAACACTGTCCACAAAAAAATGCTTCCACACTTTAGTGAATGGTGACTGATGCCTTAAAAACTCATGAGTGGGCAACGATCATCAAACATGCAACTACTGAACGCTTCCTGCTTGAACAACAGAGAGTGAAGAAAACCAAAGATAAAAGGAACTAAATCCAACTTTCTATTGGATCATGGTAACCCGTTTCCATGACCTGAAGTCTAGAAGGACTAGAGAGTGACCGGGTCATTCCGAAAGGAATCAGAATAGGAGGTCCAGGGGATAACAGGGGGAAATGTGAGACAGAACGCATAATATATAACAAACACAAACAAACAAAAAGCCAGGTATCCTGGTCTACAGACAGGTGGAACGTCTGAAGTTATGGCGTTGGACTAAACCTCTCAAGCCCGACACTGAACTCAGCTTTCACCCACAGCGTAGACCAGTTCCTCAGGAGAACAATACCACTAGGGAGGTACCCACACCGTCAAATGATCAATCATACTGGGTCATAATGCAGCATCAGCCGAGGGAGAAAGCTCAGAATGCAGGAAGAGATAGGAAAGGACGACAAACAGAAACAGAGACACGGAAGAAGTAGAAAGAGTAACTGTTACATTGTGGTAACTGAAGTCAAACTGAGTGTGAAAGATTGAATGGAAAACCATATAAACTGTCATTAATGAGAATAAAGGTTTGGGGGAGGAAAGATGAAAGAAAGCATCAGTGAGCTTAAGGACACGAAAACAGGAACTGGAACCTGTGCTCATCTTTGTGGGGCCCGGAAGGCTCACTCTGATGAAGGACGGCCTTCACATCTGTGAGATGGAGATGACTCCCAGTCACATCCTCCAGACGAAAAAGCATCCCCACTATATGACCCCATAATAGAGCTACTTTAAAGATGCCTCTTACAAGCACATGGCTGCTCTCTAACCGGAGGGCTATCTCTCTGCAAGAGTAATCAGGTCTTATCCTATATCCACCCCACACAAAGCACAGTCCGCTCCCTTTTGATGCTGATCACAGGTTGTTCCCCTGGAGCAGGAGTTCTTAACCTGTGGGTCGTGACCCCTTTGGGGTTCAAACGACCCTTCCAACAGGTCACCCAATTCATAACAGTAGCAAAATTATAGTTATGAAGTAGCAATGAAAATGATTTTATGGTTGGGGAGTCACCACAACATGAGGAACTGTATTAAAGGGTCAGCGCATTAGGAAGGTTGAGAACACTGCTCTTGGGAGAGCTCAGGGACATCTGAAGTTGAGCTAGCTCAGGGACACCCAAGGTGAAGCCACCAACTTAACTCTAGTACCTGCCCACTTTGTTACGTATGTGATTGACGTGGCTTGCAAGCCCGATGATTATATAAACCCACTGGAAAATACATTCTCTCTCTTGATCCTGACATTGGGAAAGGTGAGCACTCTGCACACTTTGTCTCTTTATTTTCCCACAATTGCACACGCCACTCCTCAGGACCCTGTAGGTTGTGGGGAACGAAATCCTCAAGAAATGATCCAAAAACAGACCAGATCATCAGTACCCTGGAGAAAAACCTCAACCTATCAAATGTATGCACACATTACACATATTCCATATGGCTTATCCTTAGAACCTCGAAAGGAAAAGAGAAAGTAGAGAGTGAGACTATTTTTTTTAATGCTGAATAACTGGCAAACCTTTCCAAATTTGTTGAAAACTATACACCCACATGCTAAAGCTTAATGAACCCTCAAAACAAGATGAATGAAGAAAACAATACCCTATAGCACATCGGAATCAACTGTTCAACACCAATGAGAAAACATGAAAAGAAGCAAGGAAACAGCATACAGTACATGCAGAGCAAAGAGAGGAGGACATGTGGTAGGCGTCCATGTTTTTAAAATTCCAGGAGATGCAAACTCAACAGGGATACAGGACAGCGGTAGTGGCCTCGAGGCAGGATGGTGAAGGGCAGGAGAGGGCAGAAAAGGGTTACCAATACCCAAGGGGAAACTCTGAGGGGTCTTATTTCTCTAGAGCTACTGAAACTGAAACACTGCAAGTGGATGGCTTTCACAAACTGAAAGCTATTCTCTTGGAGTTAAGACGGCTAGAAATTTCAATTGAAGATGCATCTTTAGGGGAAGACTTTCTTTATTGGCTTTGGGGAAGGTTCTTGTTTCTTCGAAGTGAAACCTTGCTTTTCGACATGTTAATGGAGTTTTGTGCACCTGACTTGCCCAACACTCTATGTCTTTCTGATTTCTTCACTTTCGTTCCATAAACATTGATTGTGGATCCAAGATGAAATCCTTGACAACTTCAATCGTTGCCTCCATTTACCTTGATGGTGTCTCATGATCCAGTTGTGAAGATTTGGGTGTTCTTGACTTGAGGTGTAATTCATACCAAAGGCTGAAGTTCTTGTTCTTCTTCGGCAAGTGCTTTAAGTCTTCATTTCAGCAAAGCAATGGTTATTACCTGCGAATCACAGGTTGTTAACAAGACTTCCTCTAAACCTGAGGCCACACTTGTCTTCAAACAGTCCAGCTTCTTGGATTTCCTGAGCAGATAGCTGAATAAGTGTAGATGCAACTCTGACACACATCTTTCCTGATTTTAAGCCATGAAGTATTCCTCTGTTCCCTTACACTGGCTGTCTCTTGGTTCATGCACAGGTTCCATGAGCACAATCAAGTGTTCTGGAATTTCCAATCTCCACAATGTTATTCACAGTTGGTTATGACTCACACAGTCAAATGCCTTTGTATAGTCAATAAAGCACAAGGAAGCACCTTTCTGGAATGTTCTGCTCTCAGGCAAAATCCATTTGATGTCAGCAATGATATGCCTCATTCCACATCCTCTTTTGAATCCTCCTTAAATTTATGACAGCTCTGCTGACATACTGCTGTATCCCTTATTGAATTACCTTCAGCAAAATTGTATTTGCATGTGATTTTAATGCTATTGTCTAACAATTTCTGCATTCGGTTGGGTGACGTTTCTTTGAAAAGAGCACAAATATGGACCTCTTCCAGTCTGTTGGCCAAGTAATGGTCTTCCAAACTTCCTGGCATAGATGAATGAGTGCTTCTAGTGCTACGTCAGCTTGTGAAAACATTTCATTCCATCCTTCTGTTGATTCCTGGAGTGTTATTTTCTGTTAACATCTTCAGTACAGCTGGCACTTCTTCCTAAAGTACCATCAGTTCAGGGTCATATGCTATTTCTTAAAGGGGATGAATGTCAACAGCGACTCTCTGTATTCCTGCACTGTCCTTTGATGCTTTCTGCATCATTCAAAATTTGAAAAGGCAAGGGGGTGGGTGAGTCAGCTACCATGCAATCTATGACATTTGCTATCTTGGATGTAGTGCTAGATTCATGAATATATACACAACCCAAAATATACCAAAGCATACATTTTAAAAATATACTGTTTATTGAATACTAATTATATCTCCATATAGAGCTGAGAAGAAAAAATCACACGTCTCAGAATAGATATAAGTATTGAAAACCTCAATCTGACATGTATGCCAATGGCCTAACTAGCAAGCAAAATACAGCCAGTCCTTCCTTAATCCAACCCAAAGACAACACAGGAGGGATCACAATTGGTGTGGTAGACAAGGTTTGTCTCTTCCTAGCACGTCATACTTTCTTCCGGAGCCCATACGACACTGTTCAATATGGTAATTCAAAGACCACTCCACCTAGAGAGGACTGTAAGACTTGTCTTACCTACGAGGTGTGCTCCTGTTCTTACCCTCTACTTCTTTCACTCCCGAGCACTGAATCACGCTCCAACCTGGCTGAGGGTGAGAAACACGGGGGAACACAGCTCACCTGAGACGATGCGTGGAGGAAGGAGGCGCCAACGTCCTCATCTCTCACGGGCCTTTCCTCAGGCCGGACAAGAAGCTGGGAAGCAGCCATCACTGAAGTAAGAAACAGCAAGTTTTAAGAGTCTACATGTCCGCCTCAGTCACTGCCCACAGGGTCCTGATCAAAGAACTCTTGATACATTTGAACCGATCTCAGTTCCTCCTGCCACGATTTCAGGACAGGCTAGGCATCCCTAACAAGTCTCATCTCTCCGACCTTCCAAGCGGCCTCCCGCAAACGATCTCCCACCTGCTTCCTCAGAACCAAAATCCAGGTGGCCGTGCAGGGTCAGAAAGGGGTATGAAAGGCAGGCTGTGAATCTCCAAATCAGGGTGAATCAGAGAGATCGATCCACACATCCTGTTTACACACTTCCCAGGGACACCTCAATCCCAGCACAACATTTTCAACTCACACAAACCCTCATTTTTTCCAAGAGCACCCAAACCACCCCAAATCACAATGAGACTCGCCTAATGCTGGCTCGCTGTCAGATTCCTCTTTCACCACGTGGCTCAGCTGTTCTCCGGGGCCTGAGGCTGACTGCTGAAGGTCCAGCTCCTGAGGTATCCTTTCGGGAGGGGTCTCTGCCTCCCCCACCTGGCAGCTCAGAGATGCCATCTTCTCTGATACGCTCTCCTGTCCCAGAACTTGCATGCTGATCTAGGGACCAGGAATTACTAGTTACTGAAGGATTCGGAGTCAGGGTTCCTGAAAGATGTGAAGCCAACCTTACAACAGATTATAAGACAGTCCATGCAGACATGGATTAAGGGAGAAGAAAGAGTTTTTAATCCTCATCCAGCAGGAATTAGTGATGGAAATATCCCTCAACTCACTGCTATTGATCCATTATGACTCACAGTGACTCTATGAGTCACACACAGGAGAACTGTCCCTGTGGGTTTCAAAGACTGTACTGTTTATGGGCATTGAAAGCCTCATCTTTCCCCAGCAGAGCAGCTGGTATTTCAAACTGCTGACCCTGCAGTTAGCAGCCCAACACGAGGATAAGCAACTTTGGTGACATAGCGGGTTACCCATTGGCTGTTCACAAGGTCCACAGTACGGATCCACCAGCCACTTGGCTTTCTGAGCCCACAAAGAAACCTTTAACCTTCGAAACCCAAAGGGCCAGTTTTAAACCAGGCATGGAAGACCTTCAAGACAGGTCACTAATAGTGCTTTTACTGGACAGCATCTACCCATTAAACTATTCTGAAAAAAGCTCAAACATTCCAGTGAAAAGACAGGCTTGGAAGAAAGATTTTATAATCAGTCCCTAAGAGCAAAAAAATGTTGAGAGTCACACACATATGCATAAAAATCAACAACAAAATAAAACCCATGCAAACAAGTACAATTCAGCGCATGGCTGCCCCAAGAACTGTAATGTCCCCTGCCATTTTCTTAGGGGTCATCTTTATAGAAATGGATCGCCAGGCCTTTCTTTCTTTTTGGGTGCCACTGGGTGGGTTTGAACAACCAACTTTTAGTTCAGAGGATTAGGCTTAGGGGAGGGCTGGGCCTCACTTACCCACTGCCAAAGTCTCCGGGGGTCTCCCTTCAAGCTCTCCACGAGGGTCACGGCCTCCTCGCCGCTGCCTGGACACTGCCGCCGCACCCACATCTGGATCTCCCCGGGCAGGATGGTCAGGAACTGCTCCAGCATCAGAGTCTCCAGGATCTGCTCTTTGGTGTGGACCTCCGGCTGCAGCCACCGCAAGCACAGCTCACGAAGCTGCCTCAGGGTCTCCTGGGGCCCAGACACCGCCTGGTAGCGAAACTGCCTGAAGAGCTGGCGCGCAGCCTCAGGGCCGCACAGTTCCCC